AGAAGCGCCAGAGACTGCATCCCCCGTCTCTGCCAAGGCCGTACCTGATGTTTCTGGTCCAGACATGCAAACAAGTGGGGATCAGACGGATCAGGAGCGGCTAATGCGGGTAGCGGCTGCACCGTTCTAATTTAATCTAATTTATGTAGGTTTTTTCATATGTTTGGATTTTTTTGCTGGGGCCGTCGATGTTGGTAGGATGTGGTTGGTCTTCTTCGATGCTGGCAGGAAAAGGAGAAGCTGACCTCTGATCCTGCCACACCTAATGAGGAGACATTGCCAAAAGTTCCACTAGAATCACTAGAAGTTCAGGCTGCTGGCGCCTCAAAGACATTGAGCTTGGAGGGCCAGAGCCACGGCCTCTGTCCAATTGCCACTAGCTGCCCGAGGGAGGCGGCGTCCAAGAATTCGGAATTCAATCCCGGTCATGAGAACAAGAATCAGCAGAAGCAGGTCGTCCCGTTTGTTGCCGTCAAGAAGGAACTGGTCAAGGTGAAGCGTGAGCTTTGCGCAGCAGACAAGACAGAGCCAGGACAACCCCACACAAAATCCCGCCTCTCATATTTCTCATGTTGTCTCTGGTTTTCTCTTCTTTCCGACAAGTTTTATGCACTTTTGTACAGATGCTTCTTCTGCCGCAGGATTGTCAGCTGATCCTGCGGACCCAAGGATAGCAGAAGAGATCTCCAAGTATGCAGACAAAATCGCGAAATGCGGGGAATACCTAGATGTAGCAGATGCTGAGCTTTTTGCGCAAGAACATCAGAAATATTTGGCGATTATCTTCGATACACGTGAAGACTTAGAGCCCGTGCCAGCTATGAGGATTCTGGATTCTAGGATGCCGGCAAGCCTTGGGTTGGAGGGACCTGAGGAGATTCACCGTGAATCTCCGAAACAGTGGTGCCTGTTGAGCACAAACGCTCTTTACGATCCTGAAAGTCTCAGAAACCATTGGTTACCTTGTTTCTTCCGTGAGGGAATGAACAAGGCTACTTGGGACACTTTGAGAAGTCAGATTGAATCTGATACAAGACAGGAGCTTCAAGACATCGAAGCTTGGATTGTGCAGTTGTCCAATCAGAAACCTCAGAAGAAGAAGAAGAAGACCACGGAAGAATTTGACCTGAAGGAGCGACAAAAACAGTCGCTTTTCCTGCAAGCCGTCTCTTTTCATGAACCCTGAATCTATAGAGAAAAATTAGTTCCTTTTGCATGAAAGCCCTGACTATAGAGGAGATACTAGAGGAGATTCCCAGGGGGTGACTGGGAGATCTGGGATATGTGTTTGGATCTTTGTGGATGTGTGTGGGGGGAGGTTCATGTCATGTGGGAAGAAGGA